CATGTTCTTTTTCATATAGCCCAGCTTCTTGGATTATTTGCTCAGCCTACAGATTGAAAAAGTGTGGTGAAAGGATACAACCCTGATGCACACCCTTCCTGATTTTAAACTATGCAGTATCCCCTTGTTCTGTTCAAACAATAGCCTCCTGGTCTATGACAGGTTCTTATGAGCACAATTATGTGTTCTGGAATTCCGATTCTTTGCAGTGCTATCTATAATTTATTATGATCTGCACAGTCAAATGCCTTTACATAGTCAATAAGACACAGATAAACATCTTTTTGGTATTCTTTTCTTTCAGCCAAGATCCATCTGCTATTAACAGTGATATCCCTCATTCCACATCCTCTTCTCAGCTAGGCTGTATTAAAGTATTAATACTTTGCAGTCCTGGACTTTAGGGATAGAACTGAGCTGTCCGTATTTGCATGGCGTTATTTCAAATAGTAATGGTAAAAACCAAGAACCCACTGCCATTGAGTTGATTCTGATTCATAGTGACCCCCATTGGGTTTCCAAAGCTGTATATCTTTTACAGAAGTAGATTGCCTCATCTTTCTCCTACGGAACAGCTGGTGGGTTTGAATACAAATTTATATGTAGATGTGGAAACTTTCATGTAAGAATTTGATACAATCTTTCCAATTAAAAAAATCATTTTAATTTCTGTCATAAAAGCTGGCTTTATATCAGTTACAAAGATCATGAACAAATGATCATACAGTGAGTGCTGCAAAAATTCAGAGAAGGAAGGAGTCACACTGGGCCAGAGACACTGGGTGAGTCTCCATGGTGGTGATGAGACTTGAGCTGGGCCTTAAGGGTGGGATTTTAAAAAAGCAAAGAGAAGTGAGGAAGTAATTTATAACAGGGGAAATGGTGTGAATAAACACAGAAGCAGGGACGCAAAAGCTGCTTTCTTTGTGTTTTGTCCGCTAGTGCCTGGGAGTGAGTGAGGTTTATTCCTTAGGAAATTGCTTCTTAAAAACTGAAGTGTTCTTAGGCTGTAAGTGAAATGTACATTACAGCTGGTTTACTTCTGTCATTAATCTTTCAAACCCTTTGCTCTTTCTTGCCTGAAAATGTAGATTTTTCTTAATATATACCAGCTTCTGCTGTGTATGAAAATTTAAAGTCCCAATTTTCACTTTTCCCTTTAGCACCACCTGGTGGGAGCATGATTATCATGACAATTTAGCATCAGCTTTTAATTTTTTAGTTGACATACTAATTAATAGAGAGCTCTGGTAGCGTAGTGGTTAAGGCACTTGGCTGCTAACTAGAAGGCTGGCGGTTCAAACCCACTAGCCACTCCTTGGAAGGAAGATGGGGCAATCTACTTCTGTGGTGGTACTGCCTTGGAAACCCAAGGAGGGGTCGCTATGAGTTGGGTCTGACTCCATGGCACATAACAACAACTAATTAAATTTAATTTGCTCCCTCTCTTACTTTTCATCAGAGCCCTGGTAGCATAGTGGTTAACCAGAAGGTCAGTGGTTTGAACCCACCAGCCACTCCTGTGGGGAAAAGATGTGGCAGTCTGTTTCTGGAAAGATTTACAGCCTCAGACAGAGTTCTTCTCTGACCTGTAGAGTCACCATGATTTGGAACTGACTCAGTGGCAGTGGACCTGGGTCTTACTTTTTCATAAGGAGCTGTGGTGGTGTGATGGTTAAGTGCTCAGCTGCAAACCAGAAGGTTGGCAGTGTGAACCCACCCAGCACCTCTGTGGGAGAAAAACTTGGCGATCTGCTTCCACGAAGATTACGGCCTAGAAAACCCCGTGAGCTAGTTCTGTCTGTTTCATGGGGTTTCTGTGCGTTGGAATGGACTCAATAACATCCAACGACAATTTAACCTTTTCAGTAGCAAGTGAAAAGATTTCTCTGTCTGGGATTTGGCTTTCCCTGCATGGTAAGAACCTGGACTCTTCTCAGTTGTGTATCTGTTAATTGTGTTCCTAACTCTTGTCAGGCTTTTTCACTTGCATCAGTAATCCGTTGTTTGCCAGAGCTATTATGGCACAGTGGTGCCAGTTTGTAGCAAGTGCTGTGTTGACAAGGAACTGGAGAGTTTCCAGAGTTTCCATCCAAGACTTCGTAGTTTTGGCTGCTTGTTTTCGTCTATCCTCTGACTTAGAAATACAGTGGGAAATTAGAGCTGGAAGAGATGATAGGAAGCATCTGGGCCCGTGCCCGCATTTGTACAGGTGTTTAAGATTTAAAACAAGCAAACCACAGATACTTCTGCTGAAAAATGTACCCCGTAAACACTGTTTCTCACAAATGGGCACTATGCTCAAGTCAAAGAGCAAGAACAATAAGCATCCACATTCCATTTTTAGAAAACAGGAAATGAACTAGGAATGGTGCCCACATTGCCTTCCTCACTAAAAGGCTGTTGGCAGCTCATCCTAAGTTGAAATGCTGCTTTACTTCTAACGTTGGTAGCTTGGCAGCCCGTGCATTCAAAGTGTAGATGTTTTTTATCTTGAGTTGAGAGTCTGACTTGGCCCTGACATTTGTGGTATGGCCTTTGTTAATGGGTGTGGTCATGTGAGTTTGTAAGAGCAATGTGAATCTTGGCTAAATGAATTGAGTCTTACTCAATTGAAAGAGTTGATTAAGTTCTGGAAGGGTTGAGTTCAAGGTTTCGATATACAGAATATCACAGAAATGTGAGTAGGGAGGCAAAGTATAGAAAGAGCACAGACATTGAGGCTCAAATCCTGGTTCCCTTACTTAACCAGCTACATGGACTTCAATAAGTTACTTCTCTGTGATGATTCCTTTTCTTCATAAGGTCAAGAGGATTAAGTAAGGTAATGTGTGAAAGCTCTTAGTTAATTCTTGGCATATTGTTGTTGTTGTTGTTATGTGCCGTCGAGTCGGACCTGACTCATAGCGACCCCTCCATGGGTTTCCAAGGCAGTATCACTACGGAAGTAGATTGCCCCATCTTCCTTCTGAGGAGTGGGTGGTAGGTTTGAACCGCCAGCCTTCTGGTTAGCAGTCAAGGCCTTAGGCACTATGCTACCAAGGCTCCCATATCTTGGCGTATAGGAGGGTCTCAATTCATATAGTTTTCTTTCCTCTTCCACCTCTGTGCCTGAAGGAGGTTGGACATATTCCTAGTCTATGAGTAAATATCCATCTGTTTTAGATTCAGCTGAGATTTTCTGAGGACAGGAGCAGAGAATAAAATCAGAAGTTACTTTCTGTTATATGGTTTTATACTGGAGGAAATTGTACCTTGTAACATTTAGTATAACCAGACCACCAAACCCACTGCTATCAAGTTGATTCTGACTTATCACGACCCCCATTGGGTTTCCAAGGCTGTGAATCTTTATGGAAGTAGATTACTTCTTCCTGCAGAACAGCTGGTGAGTTTGAACCACCAGCCTTCTGGTTAGCATCCAGATGCCTTACCCTCTATACCACCAGAGCTCCTTACCATTTAGTATAGGCTTTTTAAAAAATATGTAGTTTTAATCGAGGTGCTTGTATTAATTTAGGGTTCCTGGCTCAGAATCTAAGGAGCTCTTGTAGTGCAGTGATTAAGCATTCAGGTGTTAACCAAAAGGTCAGAAGTTCTAACCCACCAACTGCTCTGCAGGAGAAAAATGAGGCAGTCTGCTTCTATAAAGATTGGAAATCCTATGGAAATCCTATGGTGTATTTCTGCTGTGTGTTGTAGGGTCGCTGTGAGTCAGAATTGACTCGATAGTAGTGGGTTTGGTTTGTTTTTTGGCTCAGGATCTTATAATTGGTCATCAAATTGACTTGTGAAGGGACTGTAGGGTCTTTTGTTGTTGTTATTGTGTTGGGTGCCATTGTGAGTCAGCTCTGACTTGTAGCAACTCCATGTATAATAGGATGAGACATTACCTGGTCCTGTGTCATCTTAACAGTCGTTGCTATGTTGAGCTCATTGTTGCAGTCACTGTGTCAGTCCATCTCATTGAGGGTCTTCCTCTTTTTCACTGACCAATCAAGGTGATGTTCTTCAGAGATTGGTTCCTCCTGATAACTTGTCCAAAGTAAGTGAGATGAAGTCTCACCATCCTTGCTTCTAAGAAACATTCTGGCTATACTTCCTCCAAGACATACTTATTCATTTTTCTGAAAGTCCCTGGTATATTCAGTATTCTTTACTAATGCTGTTAATTCAAATGTGTTAATTCCTATAGGTTCTAAAGGGGGCATATAAATTATAGTGAATACTTAATTTAGGATTCTTTATGATGCAAGCAACCAAAAGTTCACTCAGATTGTCCTAAATAACAAAGAGAAATTATTAACTCTCATATTTAGTCAAGGCTTGGTTCTGCAACTCAGAGTTTATTGCCCTGGGTCTAATTTCTTGCCATCCTTCAAGCAGGCTCCCACTGACTTCCTCCTTTACCAGCAGCCCCAGGCTCATTCATTCAGGGTCACAAAAGGGCTATGGCAGTTCCAGACCTGTGATTCCCCTACTGCATCATCCAGGGAAAAGAGGCCATCTCATGTAGTTGCTACAGAGGAGAAAGAAAGCATCACTTTCTCAGAGATCTCAGAGGAAGTCTCCTTAATGGTCATTGACCCTTGTCAATGTACCCATCTTGAACCAGTCACTATGACTAGTGATGGAATGCCCTGATTGGCTAAAACCAATCAAGGCCTGTCCCTGGAACAGGGTTGGAGTTAATCTTAGACGAATCACATTGGCTAGGAATGGGAAATAAGTGTTTTCCTATGGAACATTTGGGGTTCTTGTTCCAGAAGGAGGGGGAAAGATGTTAAGCAGAAAACCACAGTGATCTGCCCAGCAGTTGCTGTATCTTTAAACAAGTAAGATGCATGTTATAGTTTTGTAAACAGTGCAACCCCTTTTCCATTAGTTTCCTATGAGTGCTGTGTGCGTGCGTGTTATTTGTGTGGGTGCATTATATGTGAAAAATGCAATAATTCAGATTTTGAGCTGTGAATTAATGTAGCTTTTTGTTACTGTTACAGGGATCATCCATGTATCATGTGGACTGGAGGCTGCAGGAGAATTCCAGTTTTGGTATTCCATGCTGAGGCTATTCTAACAAAGGACAATAATATTCGAGGAATTGGAGGTAGGTGCGACCTTCACCTCAGACGGCAGGGCTGGGCATGGTCCTGACAACCTGGCTTGCAGAATCTACTATCACATATAAAGAGCAAAAGGACCGTGAAAATGAGAAATATTTATTGCTTTGTTACTCTTGAAATTTCTTGTTTTTTCCATGTCATTGTAAAGTGTACAATTCATTGGTGCTTGGTACATTCCACTAGGTTGTATACCCATCACCACTGTCTACTTTCAAAAACTTTTCATCACCCCAAACAGAAACTGAGTACCCCATAAACAATAACTCCCCATTCTCCCACCCTCTTAGTCCTGGTAACCACTAATCTAGTTTCTATCTCTATGGATTTACCTATCCTGGATATTTCATTAAGTGGAAACATACAATATGTGGCCTTTTGTGCCTGGCTTCTTTGACATAGCACAGTGTTTTCAGGGTTTGTCCATGTCATAGATGTATTTGTACTTTGTTTCTTTATATGGCTGAGTAATATTCCATTGTGCAGCTGTCCTCAGATTACGAACCAGATTTGCTCTTAACTGACTTTAAGAAATTATAGCTAATTCGCAAACAGGTACATACAATTCTTATTTATTCTTACTTTAGTGCAAGAAAAGGCTTGAAGTTTTTTCAGTGATTTAAAAGCCACAAGAATACAAAGTGAAGGTGTTTGTGATGAAGAATTTGTTAGAGTAGGGGGATTGGTTCATGTTTGAAAGTGAGGGGAAATTTGCATTGCATTAAATGCCAAGGACATAGTGTCTGTAAGTTGGGTGTTGGTAACCCAGGGACTTACTGTATATACCACAAGCAAACTGTACCACATTTGTTTACTTCTTTGTCTGTCAATGGGCATTGGAATTGTTTCCACCTTTAGCTATTGTGGCTAGTGCTGCTGTGTACTTTTTGTCTGAACACCTGTTTTTAGTTCTTTTGAATATAAACTAGGAGTAGAAATGCCGGGTCCTATGGGAATTCTATGTTTAACATTTTGAGGAACCACCAAACTATTTTCCACTGTAGCTGTACCATTTTACATTCCCACCAGCAATATATAAGAATTTAAATTTCTCTGCATGCTTTTCTTTTTTAAATTTTTTAAATTATAGCCATCCCAGTGGGTCTGAAGTAGAACCTCATTGTGGTTTTGATTTGCATTTCCCTAATGACTAATGATGTTGGTCATTTATATATCTATTCAGAGAAATGTCTATTCAAGTCCTTTCCCCAATTTTTATTTGGGTTGTCTTTTTGTTGTTGAATTTTAAGAGGGCTTTTTTCTTTTTTTTTGGATACTAAACCCTTGTCAAATATATGATTTGCAAATATTTTCTCCCATTCTTTTCACTCAATTGATAGTGTTCTTTGATACACAAAAAGCTTTTAATTTTGATTAAGTCTGGTTTATCTGATTTCTCTTTTTTTGTTTATGCTTTTGGTATCATACCTAAGAAGCCATTGTAGAATCCAGGGTCATGAAGATTTACACCTTTGTTTTCTTCTGATAGTTCTTTGGTGTGTGTTCTTTTTTCCCTAACTTTTATTTATTTTGTTGTCGTTGCTGAGAATATGCCCAGTAAAACATATACCAACAGTTTCTACATGTACACTGACATTGATTACATTCTTTGAGTGGTACAACCATTCTCACCCTTCTTTTCTAAGATATTCTTCCCTCATTAACATAAACTCACTGCACCCTAAGGTGCTTATCTAATCTTTCAAGTTGATGTTGTCCATTTGATCCCATGTTCTTAAAAGAGCATGATGCTCAAAGCAGACTGTTTTTACTAGGTAAGCAAAACTGTTGTTTGATTTTAGAAGACTTCAGGGGATATTTTTTATTTAAGTTTAAAGATGAAACCAGTGCAGTAGTTTCACGGATTCATCTACCTTCCTTGGCTTCAGAAAGTTTAGAGTCCATGAGAATTTGAAATTTTGATCTGCATTTCCCCCCTTTTGCTTAGGATTCTTCTATGGAATCTTTGATCAGAATGTTCAGTAAATGGTAGCCAGGCACCAGCCAATTCTTCTGGTCTCATGACAAAGGAGGCAGTTGTTTAGGATGGCAGTTAGCCTACACATTCCATATCCTTCTCCTATTCCTAGCTCTACTTCTTCCTCTGTTGCTCTAGGTGAATAAAGACCAGTTGTATCTTAGATGGCCACTTGTAAGCTTTTAAGATCCCAGGCACTATGTAATAAACTAGGAGGTAGAACAGGACCACTAAATATGTTCTTAGGCCAGTTAATTGGGCTATCCCATGAAACCACGACTCTAAACCTACAAACCAAGGAACCAAATCCCATGAGGTGTTTAGTTGTACTTTAGCATTAACTCTGATATACTCATATGTCACTTAATAGTCACAGTATGTTCTGTGAAATAGGACATTATATGATGTGGGTGTTGTGTGAATACCATATGATACAGGGAGTCCCCATATTACAAACAAGTTCTATTCCTAAGTCTGTCTTTAAGTGGAATTTGTATGTAAGTTGGAACAATTAGGTATGGTTCATATCTAATGTTAGTCAAATATTTGTCTTAGAATATAGTATACAGTGTACCTTTCTATGCATAAAAGCATTGAAGCAACACTTCCATGTAGACTAAAACATCTTTAGCATAATTATACAGTAATAATAATGTTTTGATATGTGCCATAAAGTAGCATCCATATGTTATTACGAGCCATTACATGTACCTCAAATTTTTAATATAATCCGCTTTGTAGGGCTTGGGACCACGGACACATAGTGGTTGGACATTGCATGAATGAATGTTACGTTGCATGCGACTGTGTTTTGATCTTTGATCCATTTTGAGTTAATTTTTATGTGTGGCGTAAGGGAAGAGTCCAGCTTTATTCTTTTGCATGTGCTTGACCCAGCACCATTTATTGAAAAGACTATTTTTCCCTCTTTTAATGGACTTGTTAAGATCAATTGCTGCCCAGCTGTCATTACTGATCTCTCTGACTGAGACACAATAGAAGATCTCAATTAGAATGAGAGGAAAATGTAGAACAAAAATCAAATTCATAAAAAAGACCAGACTTACTAGTCTGATAGAGACTGGAGAAAACCCTGAGATTATTGCCCAAAGACACCCTTCTCACTTGGAACTGAAGCCACTCCCAGAGGTCACCTTTCAGCCAAATAATAAACTGGCATTTGACTGCTACGCAGAAGGCTGGCAGTTCAAACCCACCAGCCACTCCTCAGAAGGGAGGTGGGGCAATCTACTTCGATAGTGATACCACCTCGGAAACCCAAGGAGGGGTCACTATGAGTCAAAATTGACTCAACAGCCGTGAGTTTGGTTTTGGTTTGTATAACGAACAACACCACCTGTGAGGAATGTGCTTCTTAGAACTGTTAACCATGTGAGACCAAAGGGCAGCATTTGCCTACAAGCCAGGATGAGAAGGCAGGGAGGGTGAGGGCAGCTAGACAAATGGAAACATGGAACCCAGGGTAGAACTGGAGAGAGTGCTGACACATTGCAGAGATTGCAGCCAATATCACAGAACAATTTGAGTGTGACTTACTGACTGGAAAACTATTGCTGTGTAAACTTCCACCTAAAGCACAATAAAGTGTTAAAAAAAAAAAAAAAATTAAAGCACAGATGAGAAGGTAAGGAAACAGGGAAACTAGAATACTGGAAATGGTTCACCCAGAACTGAGTGAATGAGAATGATGCACATTGTGAGAAATGTAACCAATGTCACTGAATACTTTGCGTGGAACTTGTTAACTAGAAACCTCATGTTCTGTGTAAATTTTCACCTTAAATGCAACATAATACTATTTAAAAAAAGAAAAAGCAATGGACTGTAGATGCATGGGTTTATTTCTGGACTCTGAATTCTATGCCGTTAACCTGTATGCTTGTCCTTAATGCCGGTACCACACTGTTTGAAGACCTTTGTGGCGAGGTTTCATGTAGGCAATGTGAGTCCTCCAGCCTTCTTCTTTGTCAAGATTGTTTTGGCTGCTCAGCATCCCTCGAAATTCCATGTGAATTTTAGGATCAGATTTTCCATTTTTGCCAAAAAGGTCCCTGTTTCAGATTCATGGACGTTTTAGCATTCTCAAGGCTTCTGATCCTTTATGTGTGTCTTTCGTTTCTTGCAGTGGTGTTTTACAGTGTTCAGTGTACATGTTTGCACCGCCTCTGCTAAACTTACTCCTAAGTGTTTGGTTCTTTTTGATGCTAAGAAAAATGGAATTGTTTTCTTAATTTTCTTTTTGGGTTGCACATTTTAAATCTATAGAAATTCAGTTGGTTTTTATGTTGATCTTGTATGTTGCAACTTTGCTGAATTTGTTCATTAGCTGTAATAGTTTATTTTGTGGATTTGTTAGGGTTTTCTATACAAAAGATCATGTAATCTGCAACTAGAGATAATTTTACTTCTTCTTTTCCAGTTTGGATGCCTTTTATTTATTTCCTTGCCTAGGTGCTCTTCCTGGAACGAGTACAGTGTTGAGTAGCAGTGATAAGAGCAGGTACCCTTATTTAGTTTTTGATCTTAAGGGGAAAATTTTCAGTCTTTTCACCATTAAGGATGATGTTAGTTTGGGTTTTTCATAAATACCGTTTATCAAGTTCTATCCTTAGTTTTCTGAGTGTTTTTTATCAGGAGTGGAGGTTGGATTTTGTCTAATGCTTTCTCTGTATCAATTGAAATCCCCCCCCCCCGTCATTCTATTAATGTTGTTTGCATTGACTGACTGAATTTTGTATGTTGAACTACCTTTGCACCCCTGGGATAAGTCCCACTCGGTGGTGGTATAGAACCCTTTTACTGTGTTGTTGCTAGATTGTGTGGGTGGTATTTTGTTGAGGGCTTTTACATCTAAATCCGTGAGGCTATTGGTGTGTAGGTTTCTTCTGATGCTGCTGTCAGACTTTGGTTGTCAGGGTAATGCTGGCCTCATAGAATGAGTAAGGAAGTGTTTCTTCCCCTTCTGAGTTTCAGAAGACTTTGAGAAGG